CTGGAAGTAGGCTGAGTTAGCAGACAGACTTAACCATCCCTTGACGTGTCGCACTGGTAGTAGGCCAAGTTAGTTGAAGGACTTGGCCATCGTTTGACAGGCCACACTGGTAGTTGGTCAAGATAGTTGACGGACTTGGCCATCGTTTGATAGGCCACACTGGTAGTTGGTCAAGATAGTTGATGGACTTGGCCATCCCTTGACAAGTCGAATCTGTAGTTGGTATAGTTAGTTGACGGACTTAACCGTCCCTTGACAAGCCGCACTGGTAGAAGGCCAAGTTAGTCAACGGTCTTAACTGTCCCTTGACAGGCGGCACTTGTAGTAAGCTGAGCTAGTTGATGGACTTGGCCATCCCTTGACAAGTTGCACTGGTAGTAGGTCAAGTTAGTTGATGGACTTGACCATCCCTTGAAAAGCCGTTCTGGTAGTAAGCCAATCTAGTTGATGGACTTGGTCGTTCAATGACAGGCCGCACTGGTAATAGGCCAAGTTAGTTGAAGGACTTGACAGGCTGCACTCGTAGTCAGCCGAGCTAGTTGATGGATTTGGTCATCCCTTGACAGGCCGCACTGGTAGTCAGCCGAGCTGGCCGAGGGACTTGGCTGGTGGTCTGCGTCCTTCATATTAGCTGGTCAGACGTCTTGGCTGGCGGGCAGTGTGACTGGTAGTCGGCTAAGTTTTCGTTGAAATATGCTTGCAATTTTAACCTTTTCTTCAATTCTGCAAAAAAATTGTGAAGTTTCAAATTTAGATTATAGATGTTTAGAATATAGCATATTTCCAGCACTCATTTGCATATCAAATTGAAAACACTCTTCCATATTATCAATTCATTCAAATTCATTCATTCATCATGGAAAATACAAGACTAATTTAAAGATCTATACTTACAGGAATTAGTTTTAGATTGAAAGATTTATTGAATTTTGAAATGAAAAAAAAAATTTACCTTACCTTAACAATGTAATATTTTGAAGAATTTCATATACTTCAGGTCAGGACAGATTCAGCTCATAGAAACATCATGTACCAATATTCTGCTTTATAAAAAAAAAGAAAGAAAATTAATGTTAAATTACTCATTTCATTGCACTAATTAATGTAATGCAGCTAGATCATGTTATGATCACGCTGATGTGTATAAGGCTTCACAATATTTTAACAGTTCAGGGAATCTATAAACAATTGTGGGAATAAATATGACAAAGAACAACATATTTTATTAAAATACTAAATGCTGAAAAATATTATGCGTTTCAAATACTTTCAATTTCTTTGCTTCAGTCTTTGTCATTCGACATACCAACCAAAACAAACAAGAAATCTAAGATTCACACGCCTAGAATTTTGTTCATTCCCAATATTTCTTCTTTTTGGAATGTTATTCCAGAGGTACTAAGTATACTTTATCAAAATAAATAAAATGTTAGCATAAATATCGCCTTACCAACTGGTTTTATCTCCTTTTTTCTATCAACACTTTCAACATCCAAACATTCAAATCGTCCATGGAAAAATCCGCGCTCAGTTGTTGACCAATCATAGAACTCAAAAACGTCACGTGATCGAAAAAAAAATAAATAAATAATTCATAATTAATTTATTTTAAAAGCAAATAAACCTAATTGTGTAATTTTAATCTTAAATTAAAAATATAAATACCAGTTGGTGTTCAAATTTTGAATTTATCTCAGTATCAACAAAACGGACATCGGGGGCCGCCATATTTTTTGTTGCCGCCATTTTGAATTTAATATTTGTTTATTTGTGAAAATAACGATGAAAACTGGGTTATTTAATTATGCAAACAATAAAATCTACACGTACTAGTCTTCTGCTTAAATCTTAATATAACTGGCAGTCTTTATTCACAACATCGTAATATCTGTTCCACATGAACATACACATACTCTATGCTGTTGTTTATCTTTTTAGCCACCCATATTACGACTGATTTTCTTCAGATTTCAAACAACCTGTGTAAAATTGTACCATTCAGAGGTTGTGTAATACCCAGGCTAAAATATTTACGATGTGTTGGCCACAAAGGTCACCTAGTACAAACACCTGTTTCACAGAAAACAATAGGGAAATTTACACAGTTTTGCACACGAAGAATCCGTACAAAATTCACATGACTTCATGAGATTACATTTCATACTGTTTATATCTCTTGCAGTACATTTATATTTCCCCAGAATTATAAAATATATTCATTCCCAACTTCAGATGTAAGTGCATCATTATAATTTACAAGACAAATATTATATGTCTCATCAGGGTCTCAATAAATACGTATTTTCCAAGAGAGAGAGAGAGAGAGAGAGATTAATTATTCTCAACTTTAGTTGAAACTTACATGACAAATATCAATTTATATAGACAATAATATTTATTACACACACATGACATGTGTACACACCCTCCAACACCACAAAGAGAGAGAGAGAGAGAGAAGAGAGATCTAGAGATTCTCATTTATAGATGTAATTTACAAGATTTTATTTCACATCCCTTCTGTTGAACTTGACATGGCTGTGGACAGCGTATTTATTATGAATGAGAAGTCAATCACTGGTAGTAAACAATAATATATTTCAGGAATTGACAAAGTTTTCTGCTACAGCGTTTGAAAAAAAAAACCATTTTGAACATGATCAAAATTCATTCAAATTAACACTTAGTTATTATGTTATTTTTGAAAAAAAAAGTTGGTGTCATGTAGTAACCATTAAATAACCCCCAAAACTTGTAAATTTATACTCATGGTTATGCTTGAAAATGGCTAAGTTCAGAAAAGTTACATTTTAGTTATACATGAAAATGACAAATTCCAGAAAAGTTATGTTTTAGTTATACATGAAAATGGCTAAGTCCAAAAAGTTACATTTTAGTTATACATGAAAATGACAAAGTCCAGAAAAGTTATGTTTTAGTTATACATGAAAATGGCTAAGTCCAAAAAGTTACATTTTAGTTATACATGAAAATGACAAAGTCCAAAAAAGTTACATTTTAGTTATAACTTTTTTGTACCTCACAGGCTAGGTATAACTAAGTTATACTTAAGTTATAACTTAGTTATAACTTTTTTCGGTATGGGATGGTTTGATTTCTTAAAACAAGTGGAATATCATTCCTTAAGCAAAAATTATAAGGAGGAATATCAATAGAAATTTAATTAACTTGACAATTAATGAATCTCTATTCAAACACAATTTTAGCATTGATCTGAAAATTATTTTTTTATTGTCTGTCTATAAGTGTAGCCAGAATTTTTTTTTCCTATCCTTAATCAAACGTAGGATATTAGATGGCATTTTTTCGTACTTCAGGCCATACCAATTTCTAATATAGTTCGTCGGATTTGCCGCTTCTATTTTTTACAAATGCAAATTATAATATTAAAAAAAAAAAAATGTCTGCGCGCGCTTCCAAAAAAATCTGACTACATTTTTTTCTCGACTTTTTGCACCAAACACACAAGAACTTTGAATCTTGTATGACAGATGCGCGGGATTTATAGTGAGATTGAAGCAGTTTGTGAAGTTTTGCACCATGTCTGTTTAACTGTTCATATGTACCAGGGATGTGCAATTAGCATCCCCTGACGCCCGGGACTAACATTTTTGGGGGTCGGGATAGTGGTTTTCTACAAGGAGGTAGCCCGTCGGGCTAGTAAAAAAATATAACTACACACGCAATACATGAAAAGCACAACCGGTATTTTCACTCGTTTTTGGCTATAAAATTCCCAACAAGTTTATATTTTCCAGACAACATACTCCTACTGTCAATAAATCTCCATAATCTTATCCGTTTTGCAGAACTACCTGACTTATTTACTTCCAAAAACGATCGTTTTTTCCTAATCCGAATTTCCTCTATTCCTCCGTTTATGGTAAATACATGCAGCTATATCTTTAAATTATTTACGATCACTCAATCAACTGATAGATAAGTGTTTTGTGACTCACATAAAATACATTTCTTTTGTTTTGAATGATTTAAGATGAAAACAAAATGAATTTAATTTCATTCTAAATGAGCTAGTGCAATGATCAGAGAAAGGGAAGATAATTTATTGAAGTTCATTTTAATTTTATTTCTGACATAATAATTTAAACATGACTGAATTTGATATTGAGAATTTAAGCTTTGACTTTAAAAAGAATGACCTCGGTACCCTGACTTTTATCAGCAATTAATTTCTTTTTCAACATTATTTAGTTTTATTTTAATTTTTGACCCTGTATTTGGGTTAGTAACTTTGCAGCTGCCACTAGCCTGTTTTTTTTTTTTTATTTAATCAATATTTTATTATGTTAGAATACATAATTGGATTGGACATCAGGCATGGCCTATAAAGTCCTCTCCTGTGGGCTAGTACTTGATTTTTTATACCCCCCGCAAACGAAGTTTAGGGGGGGTATATTGGAATCACCATGTCCGTCTGTCCGTCTGTCTGTAGACGAGATTTTGTCCGGAACATTACTCAGAAACTATTGGAAGGATTTGTCTGAAAATTTGTACAAATATTATTCACTATATGAAGTTGTGCACCTGCTATTTTCATCTTGATTCGATTATTATTTTGAATTTTACAGGTGTTTTTCCATTTTTATTTTGTGGTTTTGTCCGGACCGTTTCTCCCCTTGCAGAATATTCCTGAGATGTCCTAAGAAATCCTGAGACAATCTCAAGATTTATTCCTCAGATATCTTGAAAAAATCCTAGGATTATTCCTAAGATATCCTGAGATGTTTTTGGAACAGGAATTCCTGGGATTTCCTTGGACAGTCCCAATTCAGGGGTTCTAGAAAAATCCCAGGAATCAAAACACCAAGACTTCCCAGGATATCCCAGGAAAACCCCAACACTTAAAATGTCCTAGGAAATCAGGAATTCCTAGGATTTCCTAGGATATCCTAGCCTCCTAGGACATCTTCTTTTTTTTAAAAATCATACATAGCAACAAAGCAGAATTATAAGATCTCTGAAAAAAATTTAATGAATGTATGCATTATAAAAATTCATGGCCACACAGAAAAAATAATACATAAAATAATTTTTTAAAAATGCTGATGGTATCTGATACAACAAATTCTTTACAATTTTACTGCTGTAACATTATAGTGCAGTTATGATTCAACATCATGATTTACACACAAGGGGGGAAACAGATTGTCTTATTTTCAAACTATGTTAATACATTCTGAAGCAGCTCTCATAGAATATTTATGATATACATGTACAATGACAAATATTAATAATAATAAAAAAAATATTTAAATCAACAACCTAGTGTAGAGAGTAGGGGTGAGGCCCTCAGGGTTCATCACTTCTGAAGAATTCTGTACAATAAAAGATTCAGATACCAAACAGAACTAATTCATAACACCCCCCCCCCTAAAAAAAACAAAAACAGTATGCACCTGGTGGCAACAAAGTTTGAAAAAAAAAACCAAAAACATATAGGTCAAAGTCACAAGGTCATTAACCTTGATGTAATTTGAAAGAACTTAATTAGTGGAGTATGGATACTCAATATAAAATCTCTACCTCTTTTGGTTCAAAAATAAAAGATTCAATAAGGCTATATTTTAGCATAACGATGACAGTCAAGGTCATTGGTCTTGGTCTCATTTGAAAGTGGAGTAAGCATACCCAATATGAAGTATCTATATCTCTCATGATTCAAAAGTTATGGCAAAAGGTAAATTGGCAATAGGCAGATAAACAGACAGGCAAAAACAATATGTGCCCCCAAAAGAGGCCTTGACCTCTGACCATTTCACTTCAAAATATATAAGGGTAATATTTAATTTATAAACAATATTAAATTTGTATTGATGATTAATCATGTTCTGCAGTGGGATCGTCAAAATGATTTATAATATAAAATGTCATTGCAATGTCTGATGGCTTTTTGGAAATGTAAAGAGAACGAAGTGTTACAGACAAACAGAAAGATAAACAGACCCAAATCAATATCCCCCCTGCACCTTGTCAATCCAATATAAGTTGCCCAGCTTTAGTTGGTCACTAATGTATCTTCTTTAGCTGTACATTTTTCTTCTTCATCGCCAGTGGCCTAGTTGCAGATCGTGAAGCCTTGTTTGCTTTTTCTTCACTCGACTTTTCACTTGTCTTTGCTAAAATAAAATTTTACTTAATGTATTCCATTGTTTAGTCTAAATATGTAATTATTTCTAAGGGGTGAAAATCAAACTTGTAAAATTTAGTAGCCAAAGATGCTACATGTACCAAGCTTTAAGATTCTACCAGTCCATAAAAATATGTGTTTGCCCAAGTAAGATGAACCATTTTTCTCAAAAGATTTATTTTATTCACACTTGCATAAGGAATAAGGTATGTTAATCAATTGCATACATGACGTTATTTACAAATGATGTCATAATAATCTTACTGAAAAGCCTTTTTGTAGAAAATAAAATTTTAATTCGCAATTAGTTAACCGCTTTACCACAGCTGTCGTATGAAGTCAATTTACTTGGCATTAAAATACTGTGAATTAAACTCTCCGTGTGAACAGAACATTAAAATCATACATTAACATTATTTATTTGAACAGCTTACCTTTCTCAGCAATATTCTCCTTGTTGTAATTTGCTTCTTTTCCCTTAGTCCGAGTTAAACAGTCTGCAAAGTTATCAATAAAATTTTTTATAAGACGTGTACATATTTGTTCTTTTGTAATCTATTCTAGCTGAAATTAATTTTAATGATGGCTGTCATTGATATTTCTTGCTGATTTTTTTCATTTTTCTGTTCTAAATTTTGTGAATATTATCTTATGAGTTCTACGACATCTGCGTCAGTTTTCCCAACTTAATATAAGTTACAGAGATTGAAATGTGCCATAAACTTTCATAGACGACTTTCACATTTACAAAAGTTATTCCCCTTTGCAGGGTCAATCCATGGTCAACCGGCGTAAGACACTGTTTCCCCTCTATTACCTTACCAACTTTATGGGTCAGTATCTCAGAAATATAGTATGAATGAATTTGTTGATTACGTTTTTAAAGTTGCCCCATATTCTGGCAATACAGTTACAGACCGATATTGTTAGATATAAATGTCTGAAAATAAAAATATTTCCAGGTAACTTACAAAGGACAAAGTGGGAAAAATGAGTGTTACGCCGACAACCGGAGATAACTCTTAGGAACGTGAAATCTGTCTATTCTTTCAAGTTTACAAAAGAAAATTTTAAAAAAGATTACAAGATACCTGAAACTTTCTCTTCATTTGGTAGTCTCAATGGGAGTTTCCAGTCTCATAATCCTTGCCAGGCTTCAAGGTTCTAGCTAGAAGATAACAATGCAATGGAGGCTTTAATTAAGAGTATAATTCCAAAATTTACACCATGTCCAAACATTCAATGCAAATTTAACAGTAACTGATAATAAATATTTGTTTATAAGTCTTCTGCTTACTAAATCTTAACATGTTAAACCTGGAAATATTTCATTGTGTATGTACGTTTGATCTTCATGGACTAGACTGAATTACAGTATGCCCAAAAACCTTTTACACATATTCAAATCGTTTCTTCTGTTTCAATATTGAAATATTATACAACACATCACATGCACTAAACTATTAAACAATATTTGTGTGTTTAAATACATATTAAAGGAACCACTCGCCACTTACCCCACTGGCCTGTGGCCATGATATCTACACTTCTTCCAACATTCCCTTTACTGCACTCCTAGCGAAACCAAGATTTTTGGGAAAGAGAACATGGTTTATGTGAAGAATTAGAGTCAATCTTGGGCGTAAGTTGAGCATTTCATTACATTTCACCAGTCTCTCTAAACATTGCCGCTCCTTGAACTCCTATTTTTGCGCTTCTCGATGAGGTCTTGCGAGAGGATGATACAGGACGGTGTAAAGTTATTTCGTGCCACACCAAGAAAATGCGGTTTGTTTAATTCTTGAAAATAATTTGTGATTAATGTGAATTTACGTGTTTTTTTTTTTTACAAAAAGAAAATATATTTTAGCGAATATTTTCTGACAAATTAATATTCAAAGCTGAGTTGACAGTAAAATATATTTTATACACCGGGTACTAATTGATCGAAGATCACTTTTTTGTACCACCTCTCGGAAGTTCGCTGCAGATACGGTGTAGGGGTATTTTGTACACCTTTAAGAAATATCCCGACATTTTCCCGAGAATCTTGTTAAAAAAAACACGTAAGTTATTATTAGTGACAAACGAACCGCATATATTAGAAAAATAAAATATAAATATCCTTGATCAACCAATTCTACTAACAGAAAGTGTTACAGAAGAAAATATTTTCGAAGAACCACGATGATACATTTAGGCCAAGAACAATTTGCATGGAAACCGTCCAAACACAAATATGGCGGATCGTGAAGTTGTCACATTGTGCTGTAAACAACGACTTTTCTTCGCATCTACAAGCCTGTCACGATGTCTGTAAGTATCTTATTGCTAAGTGATGAATGAAAATTAGTATATCTGGCAATAAAACCTATAGGGAAAGCGCATTTTTATCGTATTTAATAGTTATGTAACGAATCGAATTTGGTTAAAACCTTTGAAAAGATTTTTTTGATCTCTGTTTATGTGGATAAAATTTTCAGGAAACTCTATTAGTTTTACTGCGTTTTTTTAGATTTTCCTCGTTAAATAAAAGCAATACTCAATATCAAAAACATGAGGAATTATATTCTCAAACTCAATACAACACAATTCCAACCCAACAAAATTTGAAATACCAAGCTTTTTAAGTCAGAAAGTGACGAAAGTATAATGTCACAGACCAAGTCATGCTTCTTGAGTATGCTGTTTATGTAGTATTTAAATTTATGTAGTGTACTCTTCTTTCAATGACTCAATATTTACTTTTCTTTTGTATAGTATCTCTGGCAGTTATGGGTGAATATACAGCAAAATCATACAGATTTTGATGAAGATGTTAAAGATAGTAAAGTCAAAGACAGTTTGATGAACCAAATGACACTGATAAAGAAGAAGATACAAAAAAAAAAGATACTTCTAGCCAGGCATGTGACTTTGAAGCTGATAGTTTGGTAACCACTTGAGAGATATATAACCTGTATGCAGGTGATGACGGTATATGAGAGCCATTTCTTATAACGTGCTCTGAGGAATATATGTTTTGTGTCGAAATGAAATGCGAAGTGAAAAATTAAATTGACAGATGAAGAAAATTTACCACTCCATCCTTCTGCATGTATGGTCTTCTGAATTCAAAGCCATTTGAAAACCAACTTTAAGTTAAGAGGAACACTTTATTTTCAGTGAAACATTCCGGAAAATATTACTTCTACATAGAAAGAAAAAGTTGTTGATGTTGTATTGCAAGATGGCCAAGTTTGTATGACCAGTGCTTTCGGAAAACTATGCTTGCACTCAGTTTCCCATGAACGAAGCAATCTAAAGATTAAGTGTAGAATTTAATTCTAATGGATAAAAATCAACTCAGAAATGTGTGATTTGAAAATGGTGAAATATTGTTTGTCTGTAAACATTTTTTTCTTTAAAACATATTACATGTATAACTCCTCCCTGACAGCATCAATATTTCAGAAAGTATTTAATTTAAAAAATAGTTCTAGGGTCAGTGTCTTTCTATGTATCAAGTATAATAGGTAATGATTGAAAATTATTCATTTTATGATTTTCTTGATATTATACATTAAAACTTTAAAAGTAATAAAATTTCCTGTCATTCTGTTTTAACATTTATTAACATGTACAAGTTTGTAAAGTTTAATTTGTCTTTTTTACAAAAGTCCCAACATTAAGTCAAAAGTCTTAGGAAATGGGATTATCATAAAAATGATTAACTCCTGGCTTTACAATGAAATGTCCTGGCAAGATTTGGATTTGAAATGTTTAACAAAGAAGTCCTGGGAGATCCTAGGATGTCCTGAAATCAAATCCCAGGATTGTTACTCCTAGGATTTCCTCAAATCAGATTGTGAGGAAATCTTAGGAATTCTTAGGACATCTTAGGAATTCCTGAGAAGCATTTTCAAGTCAGGAATAATTTCTGCAAGGGTCAGAAACTATTGCAAGGATTAATCTGAAAATTTGTACACTTATTATTCACCATCTGAAGGTGTGCAACTGGAATTTTCAACTCTTTTTGTTCATTTTTTTGCATTTTACAGGTTTTATTTTTTATATTAATTGACTTGTTCATTTTGGGCTCATGTATAAGGTTTGAGACATAGAATCTAGAATATCTGTACAAAAATACTACAGCTTAAAACTACTCATATAAACTAAAAAAAAGAAACATCATTAAGTGTTAAAAACAGTTTTTACATTGCACAGAAGATAATGAAATTTTATTTATCTCTTGGGAATAATGACTGGACATGCATCCAGTTAAAGATAAATTAATGAGTTTGGTGTGGGAAGTTGAACATTAAGGCATCTCATTATCAACCATGTGTGATCCTGGGAATCAGGCACAACAATTAAAGATCTCTCTTCTCTTATTCTCTTAATTGTGATTTATTGTCTGTCAAAGCACTTCATTACTGGATGACCAGCTCTTTATTTTCAAATGAATTGGATATAAAGTTTTCAAGATTAAATTGATTTTGTATAATATGATTTTTTTTTCAACGATCAGTTTGCAGAGTGACATAACATAATTGCAATATATTTTTTAATGCAGAAATAAAAAAATTAAATAAAAAAAAATAATGTTACAATGGAATTACAATGAATTAGTATTGATGTTTCATTTGGTTGCACCTTTGTTTCATTCATGAGCAATTATATTTCACTGCAAATTTTTGTAGGTAAATTAAATGTAAGTAAGTAAGAACCTCTAGATCCATAAAGTATGTTTTGAATTGGCACCTTCTCTGAAAAACCCAGCGGGGGATATTTGTCCCTATTGGACAGTTCTAGTTTAATTGCACAACGCTGTGTACTATGGTTAAAAACAATGGGTACAAAGTTGTTTCATACACAGCAATAGAAATGGAAGCAGAGATGTTTGAAAACATTACATTTATGAAAGTAAAGTCTTTGATATTTGACACAATTTTACTCATTAAAAAATATCCCAAAAAAGTTAAGAATAATAAGTTCATGTGGTATGCAAATGATATCTATCTTTATATTTTAGGTCCACACTCTTTGAAATCACACTTTATTAAAAAAAAAATATATATGCATTAATTATATTCGCTCGCCTCATAATTTTGAAACCCAAAATAAAAAATAATATTTATAAAAAAATTTCGCTCGCTCGCCTCACTTTTTATTTTTGAAAATCCGAAGAACTATTTTACAAATTGGTATGGCCTCACTTGAGAACAATTGTTGGCTTTTTGAATTTCTGCAAGAGATTTAGGATCAAAGGATACAGATACGGTTTATCTGGACAGACTATTTTGATATTTGTATTCTCATATGTCGTTTTCATAGACATATTTGTTTGTTATTGTCTGCTTAAAAGCAATAGACACAATAATCATATAACTGTTAATATTTGGTTTTAATATGTGTCTCTGATGAGACCGATTCAACTTTATAATTACCTGACTGTAAGCAGTTGTCAGTTATTTATGTATTTTCAAGTACATTTTTAGACATAAATGTGTAAAATAAATATGAGAGTTCTCATGGCGTGATAATGATTGACTGCTATTTCTGTAGTTGTTTTAAGATTAGTTTCCGTCTAATAACGCGCATTGTATTAATATATATGCAGTGTTCGTCTTAAGATATAGGTCCGTAAGATCTATAACACATACCATGATGTTAATTTATAAAATAATATTTTAAATACACCAGTAGTACTTCCATTTAGTATCAACCCCTAGAATCATGAAGTAAAACTTTTATTTACTGTAGTAAAATCTTTGAAACAATAGTATTCCATAGCTAACTAATGTTAACTACAATATATCTTTAGAGAATGCCTCTTATCGCTAATATTCAGTGAACATGCTTTCTCAACAAACAATCTATAGTTAAGTTTATCAATATAACCAATTCAGCATTTATATATATTTACATAAAGCTAATACATGTAATATCATTTTAAATAGTTGTTTGTAGCTTTAGTTATTTGCTCATGACAACAAATTCAAAGCTCCAAGCAGAATAAAGCTTTCTAAACAGGCATTTTGTTTATTGAATTTGTCTTTATGAATTGTAAAAGAAATCTTTTACCTACATTTTTAATGGGTAAAATCATCAATCAATAGCATGGATGTATAAATGGAATTAGCGTGGATTATACTGTGAATGGAATGGATGCAGATTTTATAGATTGAAAACAATTCGAAAAATATTATATCCTGCATCCAAAATCCACTCCAGTGATCATATTATCCAGGCACAAAGAATAGGAGAAGGAGGAGAGATTACCCCCTATCCATTTTTTCAGAATGTAGTTTTTAACAATTTGTAGTTTGAAAATGAAACTCATTGAATCACCCAATCTTTTTTTCAAAACAGTATTATAGTAAAAACGCCTCTCCTATTTGAGTGGAAAAGATGCACAGAACATTCAGGAACATCAGAGGTGAGGCGGGGTTTTATCCCCTTTCCAAAATCATGAATGTAAAGTTTTAATTTCTCACTTGGAAAATTCATTGCAAGTTTGGTTGTTCTACTGGAGGGGGGGTATAAATATGTATTTGCAAAGGTTTAAAATATCTTTAATCATATAGTGATAGTGTGCATGTATAGGATGGAACATATAAAAATATACAGCATCGAGGCGTCCTGTCATCCATTTCTATTTTTACTCACTCGTCTGAATAAAACCTTATTAATTCGAACTAATTACGTATTTGTACGCACCAATATTAATTCGTCTGCTACAAATTTTTACTTTTTCCCATCAAATATTTTTTTTCCTGAAACAACGTATCAATGGGGGCAGTAAAGGAAAAAAAATATATTCATAATTTTGTTTACAGCTTGTGTTTGATCCATTTACATGTACATGTACCATCTTTGATTTTCTAGGTTTGCTCCTTAATCTGAGAAATGAAGATTAATTGATTGATTGTTAATTGCTTAAAACTGATTTGTCAATATTTCGGCAGAGAGAAATGAATAATTTTATTACCCTTACATGCTAAAGATCCAATTTATTCGAAAAAAAAATGCGTGAATTATTCGAAGTAAGAACAATTATAATATGCAGCATATTTTTCCCTTTCACCTGTTATGAATTTTGTATCACTTTAAAGGGGGTCATTTTTCAATGGTGGTCAATTTTTTATAGGACTAACATATAAAATAATGACCCCCTAGGACTCTTTTTCTACAAAAAATGAATTTTTCTACGGGTGGGGGGTCATTTTTCGACAACGAAAAATGACCCCCGGTCATTATTCGATGGGGGTCATTATTCGTCTTTACACCGGCAACCACGCCATTTTCATAAAAAAACGCATCGGTTTTTCATCGTATACCCCATCGTTGGATAATGTGACTTATACTTAAGCGAGTATCTTTAAGCGAATGCTTATCAATATTTAGACATGTTTACATGTCCATATATAACGTATCATGCCCACAGTGTTAAGTGTTATACTTTTATATATATGTAAACCAAGTACCATGAAAAAGACACTCATTTTCTAGAATTTCAAACTATTTTTTTCTCGAATGTCATACAGAATTGTCTGTTTTCATTTTCTGACTTCATTTTTTTTTTTATCTGTGATTCATCTTTGTTTAACTATCAAGCTTTGTATACAAGATACTGTATTAGGAAGGAAACAGCAATCATGACTGAGGCAAAGACTATGTCAGTAAACGTGTCGTGTGCAATATCCACTTATTTAGTGAAACATTTTCAACACTCATTCAATCAAGTTAGAATATCTACATGATCTAAGAACTCTAATATGTAAATACTGTTGTTTAATTAATACTTGGGGGCATCAATTTTCGTGGATTTAGTAAAAATTACAGTTTCGGGGATACGTAAATTTATAGATAATGGTCCTTACATTCTTTCTTCGTGTAGAAAATTAAACAATCGAATTTTCACTCAAAAAGTCCAGATAATTATGTAAAAATATTGATTTTCTTCCTCATTTTTTTTTCTTAAAATAATTAAATAAGTGTTTAAAATCAACCTGTTGGGATATGGGGAGGGGGGAAGGGGTAATATTATAATATGTAAATGAAAGTCAGAATTGGGTTTTAAAGATTTGTCATAAAACTGAAGGGGTGGGGGGGCATCAAATCGAATCAAAATTCGATGAGCATTTGATTTCGTGTATCGACTCAACCATGCCATCCAAGAACATTGATATTCCACAAATAATGATGAAACCACATTTGTAAAAATTTCCCAATTTTTATGCATTTTAAAGTTAAATAAGTGTGAACTAATTAACGTTAATTTAACTGTTAACGTAAATTTAACATAAAAATAACATTAAAACATTAAATTTTTAATGTTAAATTCATGTATCTGTTCGATTGACGTAATTTAACGTTAATATTTAAACGTTGAATTTATGTTATTTTCATGTTTAAATATATACAATTGTGGTATCTTTCCATTATACATACAGAGAGAAAATATCTTCAATTCTGTATGAAGTTTGTCAGAGGTCAATACGTGACCTAATCACACAGTGCAATAATATCTACCGGTACATAGATTATAAAATAACCTGCTCTACTTGCTTTTCATGTATAAAAATGAACAAAATAAGCAAGTCAAATGATAATTATTTTATTTAAACTTTAAACAAGTATTTCATACAGTTTTTGGGCTATCGATTCAACCTGTGTACATAGAGAAAACTAGGAGCCTAGCGTTTGTTTACATTTTTCTTCACTTTTGTCAGCTGCACAGTGTCTAACGTTCATCCTTATTTTTTGGGTAGACCTTTGGTTAAATTTTCACGATAATCTTTTATTTTATCTTTAAATTATACTCACGATAAATGTGTAAATCTGTTGGAAAATATCTTTGCAATCATGCCATAAACAGCTGCTAAAAATCTCGGCGTTTTCGTAGTTCAATGTAAAACTGTCGCTAGTGTCTCTGGGTTTATCAGTGTTTTACGATAAGTATGCCTTTAGTTACTAAAACCGTACAATGTTTTTGATCAAACTGCAAGTTAACTACTTCGGACAAGTGTCTCAATCCATCGGATCCATCCATCCCTTACAGGCGACCAAAATTCCTCCAACTTTTTATCATCAAACTTCGGACGTGTTTCTTGTGTCTTTTTAGCATCGATTATCTCTTTTCACGAATAAAAATAATCCCAGACAACAATCTGTTCACTATTACTAATCACAAGTAGCCTTTCACAAAATATTCCCTTCGAAATTGATTCCTTAGCCTAATGAATTCGAAGCGTAACCGCCATGCAATCCAATTTACACCTTGCGTCATTTTTCAAAATTTACGACAGACGGTTAGTGCAATAATTTAAATTCGAAAATATTCACTTGTCTGTCTCAAATGTATATAAGTAATGAATAACAAGTTTATAAACTTCAATGGGAATTGAAGTGGGTCGGTCAATTGATCAAATCTTCTGAGAAGGCCTTTAGCCTTCACAGGATTTGATCACGTGACCGACCCACTTCAATTCCCATTGAAGTTTATAAACTTGTTATTTATTTCTTAATTAACGTTGGGCAAAATTGACTGTGTATAATTTGTGTGAAATTGAAATATATTATTCATTTGTATCAACCTCATTATAAAAGTATTTATTTGTATAAACCTCCATTTTAAAAGGGTTTAATTATTTTTTATCAAACTATATATTATGATTACAGCTTTATCTTGTTTAAACAGTGGAAATAGATCATATAAAATAATGTTTTCATATCCGCCCTTGTCATATGTCATAATTGCTTTTAGTAAATTTGATCTAGTCATGTATTGTGGGTTAATTAATATAAAACTCTAATGTAAAATGTAAATGTAAAACTGTAAAATATGAAATAGCATATAGCTACTCGGTGTTGAAAACAATGTCATATAGTAAGAATTTCCCAAGGTTTGTGCATGGTTAGATGTGATGTTTTTCAATCCAACTCTTTGGATAAAAAATTATTCAATTCGAAATCATGGGAGTTTTAAATAATAATATTATTAAAACTAACCCTACCAATTTTGAATTGCAGTAAGAGTCCATTTTGTTTGTACATCGATGAATTTGATGCATTAAGTAATGGGAAACACTGCAGGAAAATTTACACAATCAGGTAGAAAGAAGACAAACAAAAATAGTCGAAAGTAAGTAAATAAGGTCATATTTCTATATAAAATAACAGATTATCTGCATCAGAGACCTATAAAAAATATCTATATTATTTTCATTAATAGCATTTTTATGTTGTTTAGAATCATGTCTTGTGGCTAGTAAACCCTAAAGACCACAAAAATGAATACAGATTACTGCACTTCGACTTTTGTAAACATTTCTTTTACCTCTTATAAAGATGCATAATGCATTCAACTTGTTCATTGAAGAGAGGCAATATGTACACCATCAAGGTGTGATACAAGAAGAGTCTATGAGCATGAAGAAAGTACTTGTACTGCAGAAGTTATCCAGGATCGGACTTCTATATCACTATCTGTCCGCACAGTGGTCTCATCTAATCTGTAAGTAATTGTACATGACATACATGTATCAAATGAATGATTGCAATTTATTTATTTCTTTGAACTTAGTTCAATTAAATCTTAATTTTTTTCTGATTATGTTATGAGGTACTGTAGGCAAACAGCGGCATTTTAGGTTTATATCTATTTTTTGTATATAGAAATGATCCTTCGCCGTCAACATCATCACCGACAACATCATCATCAGCTTCATCACCATCAACTTCATCACCACATGGCAGCAATTCAGGGCAATCTACACCACCTTCTTGGTAATTATTTTTATGTCCTATGATGAATATGGTCTGGGCTTGCATATATAGTATTTGTCATGTCTGTATTCTGTCCTCCCATTACACTTTTTATTTTGTCCATTGAACATATCTCTAGTTGAAATTTGTAGCTTTCAAGGTTAAATAAAAGTTAGCCTACAAAACGTATTGCAAGTACATAATTGGATGTGCATTGGGTCCAAACTGATTAAAATAAGTTGTTCTGATGTGCCTTCCGGTATTGTATCAGAACAGCTGGTTCAGATTGCATCAACTTTGCTTTTGAAATCTTTACGACGTATCAATGCATGTATAATCAATTTGAAATTATATTCAGACTTCGGTAGATGTAGGACCAGTACATTGAAAAAAAAAACTACCTCATTTATTTATTTAGAGTAAAGCATTTTAAACATTTTTCTGTAACAAAGTCAATGTAGGATGGTGTGCTGGAATGAATAAATGTTAATCCATTTGTATATTTTAACTGGTACGTAAAGAGGGCTTAATTGACTTTACTTTTCAAAAGTTCAAAAGTTACCGTTTCAATTGGGAATTTTTAACCAAAAATTGACGATTGTTTTATGTTATTGTGAAGTTTTACTGTTAAATAAAAATATATTTAAAGGTTTATTTCCTTCTTACATCTTGATGAATCATTTATATCTCAAAATTCAATTTTGCTTTACATATAAAGAGCACTGAAAAATTCCATTTGCATGTCACTTGTGATATTTCCCCTAAAGAACTATATGCGGTATATTGCATATATTTGCCCCTACAAAAGTCAAATTTTGAAAACTTCCTGAAATGTGCTGAATTCAATAAATTGTATGAGAAATATAAATTAAAAGAAAATATTAAAGTTTCAAAGCAGTGTATTCACAATTTTTGTTATATGACGTCACAAACTAGTCCAATTTTATATCCTTTTTTCAGAAAGAGGAAAAAATGGACGAAATTTCAACAATTTTAGCTTTAAAATTTATAGAGCGCAAGTTTGTTCAGGAACAATATTGACATATTTCATTGATATTATCATTCTACACATTATATAAAAATATTGATCCTGAACACACATGCGCTAGGTGACTTTTACTCAAAATATCGACGAAATATGTACATTTTTCTGTAAAATTCATAAAAAACTGAAATTTACGTCATGTTTGTGATGTCTTTGCGTACATATGACGTCATTACTTATGAAAATATTCAGTGCTTTGAAATAAGTATATATACTCCCCTGTTAAAGAACTTTCTCCATCAAAGGTTTGATTTGGGGGGCAAATATTGGTTAGTACCGAATAAAGTTCTTTGGGAAAAGAAGGAATAAATTTTCAATGGGGACAAGGTCCTTTAACAGGACCTGGATGCAAGCTAGGGTTATTAAGCACTGATGTTGTTGTTTAAAATGCTTGCATTGAATGCTGTATTTTAAGTTTTAGTGACTTTGGCGAACTACAGGGAATTGGAAAAGTGGCATACTCCTTGTTTAATTTAAGAGATCAATGAAACAATATTGTAGGCCAAATTTTCTGTTTGTCTTATAAGACATGATGGAGACTGCATTTTATATAAACATAATTATTTACCTTTAACTTACAACATATATATTAATTAAGTTTAAGCAGTTTATTTGTACATGTTATTCTGACAAGTAATATGCAAACAAAACTTACACATGATGTTTTTGTAATGTTTTGTCTGATGCCTAGATGAAATGCGACATTTGACTTACTTTTTATATACCGTATAGCGGGTTTATTTTGGCGCTTTGATGGTAATCCTCTTAAATTTTAATATATAAGGCTAGAATTATTGGCATACCTTTGAGCAGACAAAACGCAAACTTTTACCCGCTAAGAAAACCCGTTATGCGGTACCTCATTTGCTCATATCCAGTTTTTTACAACAAGCAATACACAGTTTGTTTATGAATTTGATGGTTTTTGTATATGAAGGATATGAAATGTGATACATGTACATGTATGCTTTGACTACATCTAGGAGGAAACATCTAAGTTCACATTAAGTCCACCTTAAAAAGTATTTGTTAATACTTTAAAAAATCTAAAAATATTTGTTAATATGATAACTGATCAATTTCCTGTTGCCATTAGTAAAAAAAAATGTCGGCAGAAGAAAATTCAAATTTTAAATAGAATAAAATTCCTTTCTTAAACATGGTGTTTAAAAGAAACAAACACGGACAGAAACATATTTTTTAAATGATATTAACATTTCTGGAAAGGAATGTGACTCTTAATGCAATGTAGATTGTGTATAAATACTATCAATGTGATTGTTCCACAAAGTAAAATATTATTTTACAAATTCATGTTTAACGGCTATTTTTTCCCTTTTGAATTTATAGGCCGCTTACACGACAACAGTCAGTTAATGCACAGGCTGCAATGGGTTCCTCAGCTCCGCATTATGAAGCAACATCAGGAACCATTAACTTTTGCTTACTGGCACGCATTCTGCTTGATGTGTGTAGTGATGCCATGAGAGATCTACTGCGATGCAAAATCAAAGGAGGAGAAGTTATTCTTACACAGAAAATTTACCAGAAAAGAAACAAATTAAACAAATTGAAAAATCTACATGATGCTCAAAAGAAATTGATAATGCCTCCAAACAATGAACTCGTAAGATACAATTCTCTTGATTTCTCATTAATGTACACTATAATGAGAAATGTCTGTCCTTCACAAATAGAGTCAGATTCTAGTTTGCAGGACAAATGGGGCAAATTTCCAGATGCCAATGATTTGAGCCTTCTTGCTGCTTTAGAAAGAATTAGGCATTGCAGAAATGACTTTTTTGCTCATAATACTTCTGCAAAAGTTAATGACACTGATTTCAATGAAATTTGGTTGCAAGTTGAAGTTGCAGTTAAGAAAATAGACGAAAATTTGGACCCTTCAATTGTTGGTATTTGTTATATTGATGAGATGAGGAAACTAAAGGAAAATCCAAATATAGATCCAAAAACAACAAGCCTTTTCCAGCATTTGGCAATTTTGGAAAAGCAATTGATAGAAGCATATGAAATGACAGGCAAGTCAAATCAATATCAATTTTACTATGAAGAAAATTCTATTCTATTATTGTTTTTACATTTAAACTGTATTTAAAAAAAAAAACTTGTTAAGGTTATTACAAAGACATACGTTTGTGTACAAAATCATTAGTTAACTTGCATTTATTTTACCTAGCATATGTCCTTTGTTACAGTTGAGACAGATATCAAGTTGGAAGAATTACTTTACGAAAGAAAAAAGTGTAGGAAGACTATTTGGGGTATGGTCTTTTAGGAAACATTTAAAAAAAATTCTAGTAAGTTATATAAAAACAATCGTGGTTAGGTAAATATTAAATAAACACATGGTAGAGCAGGATTAAGCGTTTTCACTACAGGACTACAATCTTAAAAAATCCTCATCTCCACCCGTTAAGGATAGATAGGTTTGAAAATGATCTTTTCTGATCCTCTTCACTTATTCTAATAAACATGACTGTATGTGTTTCATTTCTTTAGGAAATTATAAGTACATAAATAGGTACTGAATGTTTTATGCTTTTATTACTTATTATTTAAGGGACCAGCAGGTCAAAGTTGCAGGTGGATATGTACAGACCTGAGGACCCAAATATTGGTAAGGCAAATTCACTTTGCTAGGCTGTTTTTTAATCACTAAACCCCACAAATTAATGTTTACAAATCTCCAAGGTTTTGCATGTTTAAGATATAGAAAATAATGCAAAGTAATGATAGAGCTTCGTAAGTGTATTGGATTACTTGTAAAAATATCTTCCCTGGGACTGAACGAGGGGATGGGGGTGATTGGGGGTTAAAATATATATTTTTGCTGATTTTACATGATAACGATTAACCAATGGATAATTAATTAAAATCAAATTTTATAAATCTTGGATTTAAAGCAGGTTTCATTGAAAGGGTTTCGAATTAGTGCTTTTTTTATCTGAAAGAGAAGGTGATTTAGTGAGTAATACGGTACAAAGGTCTCTTCAGTTGAAATGTTAAATATACAATTAAACTTCAGTACCTTGAACACTGTTATGTCAATAACTATGGATTAGTCGAAGTGATTTGGTAGTCTGCATTGCTTATTCTTAAAGTAATTACTGTAGATATTTCTGATCATTGGATATCTCCAAGATTTTCACGGTTCCATGGAGTTTAAGATAAATTTGGACTGTATTTGTTTGCTGATGGTTAAGCAGTCTGTATATGGTCTTCAGCAGATGATTGACATTATTTTATGTAAAAAGAGTTAATTTCATTTGTAATTATACACTGCAAAATTTGTATAAGTTTTCAATAAATTGTTTTATTTATTTTTAAATCCTCAAAATGACTGTACAGTTTTTTATGTTTCAGCTCAGACAGAACACTATTTAGCAGGGTTTGTAAAGGAAAACCATTATTATGTAGAAACTAGAGTTTATCAAGATATAGAAAAGTTTCTGAAGGAGAACAGATGTGCCATAATTGTAGGGAAACAAGGAACAGGCAAGACAGAGATTGCAAATCATTTAATGCTGAAGAATTTGAAAGACTTCGTAGTGCGCAAACTGAAACGTCCTCATGAATTTGGAAGCTTAGTGAACCCGAAAAAGAAACAAATGTTTTTTATTGACAATATTTTTGATTGCTCTGATAGTGATTTGGCTGATTGGTGGAAAAGTTTTGATTACATCCAAGAACTAGTTGGATCTAAAAGTGACCATCAGACATCGTCAAAGAGTGCTAATGACGAGTCTGATACAGATGATGAGGGTCCAGAATTTATTACATATGTAGTCATGACGACTAGACCGAATGCACTCAATGTAGCGAGAGCGCAAATGAGGAAAAATCACTCCTTGCTGAAAGATTATGTTTTAGATATCAGCTCTGATCGCTTCACTTTAAGTAACAAAGAGAAACGATTGATCTTGGAGGCCAAAATCAAATATGCAAAACATGTAAAAAAGATTGAAGAACATTCCTTTTCTCCGGAAGATTGGAGAAGTATTTTCAAGTCCACTCCTCCATTTGGATATCCCTTATGTGCCCGATTATTTGCTTGTGATAAAATATATAGACGAGATGGCCCCGAGTTTTTTTCAAATCCCCATCGATATTTGGTCAGTAGACTAAAGAAGATAATAGAAGAAGATATTTCGGGCCGCACAGGAATGCTTTTTGTTTTATTACTAGTTTCTGATATACAAAAAGTAACTCTGCAGTATGATGATGATGAGCAGTGTTGGGAAATTCTTTCTGATCTTGATCTTACTCAGGAGTTATCGCTAAAAAAGAAAGCAGTTAAGAATTTGCCTGAGGCAGCAGCAGAACATCTCGAGGTGTATCTGAGAGAATCAGATGGTGTATATAAATTCATTCACCCTAGTGTCGGAGAAGCTGTGGAAAATTACTTTGTAGAAAAATATACCAACAAAGCCATTGAAATATTGCCAATGCATATTTTATTCAAGAAAATGAACTTAGAAGATAAAGAAGACAAATGTTTGCCACTTTTGACACCTAATTTGCTTGAAAGTCTGGCAGAGCGACTTTTGCGAGACATTATAGAAAGGAAAGGTAACATCTGTGAGATTTGTAAGTATGATGGATTAAAAAACAAGAACTTTTCTGTTGTGTTCTTGAAACAAATTACAAAAGATACACACTGTTTTCAAAACATTTTGAAGGCTGAACATACAGATGGATTTCCATTCATTTACTGGTTCACATTGTCTGCCCTGCAGGACACAGTTCTTGAACTTTTGAAACATAAAATATTTAAAAACGTGTGTACGGACTCTGAAATGTTTGTACAGTTTGGGTATTCTCTGTTGGCTTCCTGTGCTTCAATAGAAAAGAAGAACGTTACTGAATATATTTTAGATCTATATTCAAATGAGGGTATTCAAAATTTCTGTAGAGGGAGAAAATGTTCTGCAATTGATGAAACAGTTCATAAGGAAGCAACTCCTTTGCTTGAAGCATTTAAGTTCAAAAACGAGGAAGTTGTACGACTTTTAATCAGAAAAAAAGCAAGATTCTCATCTACAAGTTGGAGCGGTTGGTCATTCCTACATTCATGTTATGAGGAGCAACAAATATGTTGTCTTGAAATTCTTGAGGCGATTCTTGCTTTCGACAATTCGAAATTTACATCAGATCAAAAGGACACAAACGATGCTTTGAATTATAATCAGATATTAGCCAAGTGGGAAAAGACATTCCATGAAGATGTAGTGACAAACATTGATGATTCAATACGTAAACATGGGTCTCTTGAAAGAATTTTACTAGATTTAGTTAAAATTCCTAATTTTGAAATAACTAGTGGGTTGCTGGATGTTTTCTTCTCGCTTTCTGAAATCAGAAAATTTTCTGAAATGAAGCTCCAAAATCCACTAAATATTACTGATGAAAATGGAAATTCAATCCTCCATCTCCTAGTAAAATTGAAATGTTATATCCCTGAAACTCCCAAAGGACGCAATTACGTAGATAATAGTATTGATCCAGTAGTCGAAATAGTCGATGAAGACATGGATGAGAAGTTAAAAATGTACCCAGAAGAAGTAACTGGTGAAGAACAATATGATGTTGTATATAAACAAATGGAAAACCAAAGTGTCCTCTTACAGATGATTCGCAGATTATGTATTAAAGGTGTGGATATTAATATGAAAAATAAAAAGGGAGAGACACCTCTTATGATTGAAATCAGCAAATATAATCCATCTCCATCAGTAGAGATAGTTAAAAGCCTGTTGCACTACAAAGCAAATCCGAATGCACAAGATGGTGTTCAAAGAACCTGTTTACACAAACTCCTCTTTCAGAATTATAAGGAAAATGCGCCAATTGAACCTATTCTTGATCTTTTGATGTACAACGGCGCAGATATTAATAAAACTGACAAATATGGCATTAATCCTATTTTTGCAGAAATACAAAGGAAAAAACCGAGAACAACTATTTTAAAAATCCTAATAGATGCACAAATAGATTTGAGCATAGTTGGTCCATGTGGAAAAACAGCACTTCATATTGCTCTATCATCCACATATGATGAAGAAATTGCAAAGGATGATATCATTAAGACTCTTTTAACATCAAAAAGTTTGAATGTGCTTTCCTGTGATGAAAAAGGATTGTCATCATTTAGGATTGCCATGGAAGATACAGAGTATAATGATGTTTTGAAATTGATTGCACTTCACAACTCATGTCCATTCCCTCTTCATTCTTGTATAGTAGAAGATGTAAAGGAAGACATCAAGATTCGGACTCTTATGCATTTGACATCAAGTGGCGAAGAAAAGTTCAATGTATCAAATAAAGATCAAGATGGTAGGACACTTTTAATAACAGCTGTTCAGAGATGTCCAAGTATGGTTAAACTCATTGACTTCTTACTGACCACACACATTGACATAAATGCAAGGGACACTTACGGAAAAAATGCTTTGTTTTATTTAATTTCATCCGACACTGAATTTAGCGTTCGTGAGACTGCTCTCATCTTGCTTCTCGACAAAGGTCCATCTGTTCATGAAGAAACTGAAGACGGGAACTCACAATCACCTCTCGCACTAGCAATGCAGTTTATAACAAGTAGATCACACCTTTTTGAACGTTTGGATCCTTTAGAGTTTCCATCGCAAGAAATGACCAAAAAAATTACAACAGAGGTATCCCTCGAAAAGGATAATACAAAAAAGAAAGAGGCACAGTTCTATGATTTCTTTGATTTTAAAGTTGAAATTGTTCAGAAAATTCTCGATATTACAACAGTTAACCTAAATTTTGCAGTTGATGAAAAAGAACGGACGTATCTTCACTACTGTGCAAGCTCTCGGCTAGCAGATAAAAAAACACGTACTGTTTGCGAACATCTTGTAAGACTTGGTTTGGAAGTTGATAAGAAAGATAAAGATGGACAAACGTGCATTGATATGGCTTTTAGATACTCTGTTAAAAATTTTGATACACTTGTTTTCTTATTGGAAAAGAGTAGAAATTTGAAGGAACTTGATATAGATGGATTATTAGAATTCATCAACCTTGAAAACTGCCTTTACGATGAGCTGGTTAGATATTTGCAGCAGAACATTTTTCCTTGGACTAAACCAAAACGCAACCTTTTTCAATATTTGGCCTCCATCAGCTACGATCCAAAAAGTCAATCGAAATCTGAACGTGATACAGTATTTGATGGTCTCCTGAATTCATTTCCAATAGATCAAAAAAGCAAAACAGGAAAAATTCCATTGCACACTGCTATTGAAGAAAATGCGAGTGTTTCTTGCGTGCGAAGTTTTGTACGAGTAAGTAAATGTTGTATAAATACACCTGATTCTGACGGAAACACAGCACTCCATTTGATTATAAAATCTGATAGAGATGACACTGATGTATGCACTGTAGTTAAGAAGATGCTGAAATGTGATGTTTTTGTTGATATCCAAAATGAAATGCTAGAGACGCCAATAATGCTTGCTGTTAAATGCCCTAAAGATCGTACAGGAACAATAACTGAACTTTTAAAAGCAAAGACAGACCTGTTTCTGACAGACAGAAGAAAATACACCATCCTTCATCATTGCATTGGAGCACCAAAGAATGATATTGTCGTGAGCTCTTTACTATCTTCGTTTATTGATAGTGATCGAACGATTCCAATAATAGAAAAGAACACAGACGGTTATACACCATTAAATCTTGCCGCAAAAAACAAAAAATTTAGTAGAATATTATGTATACTGAAACTATTAGAAGTGAAACAGTGCACAGCGTATACAGTGGACCGACAGGGAAGAACGCCACTGTTCAACACAGCGTTCTTTTTAGAGGGAGCTAGTCCATTAGTAGTACTTGAAAGACTCTTGCGTGGGTATATATTTCTCATGCATGGAGACTCTCCCTCAGTGACTAATAACAAAGGAGAGACTGTATATGATATTTGTAATCAATATGGCCATAGACATCTGGAAAACCTCTTGGAATCTGAGAAATCAGAGAAAATGTTCACAATAGTCAAACAAGCATGGATTGACGTATCTTCCAGATACCATATACTCAAGAATAATGATAACGATCCAAAATTGCAGTTTACAAGTAACGTGGAGGAAATGTTTAGAAAGCTAATTTCTGATTCACTGCCATTTTTATCACACGTTAACTTTGGTAATATAAAGAATGTAGAATTAGTAGAGGAGGAAAGTAATCTGTCGAGTGTTCCAGATCTAGAACAAGAGACGACTATGAAGTGAAATGTAACGGTATTTGATTTTCGTTGAAGTCCCTATTTGAATGTTGAATTGAACATTAATCTGTTCTAGGAGAATGGAAACTTCAGCGACCTATTGAAGAATAATATGTACTTTGCATTTGTGTAATACTATTGTTCATGTATTTCAAATTGAAATTGCAATATTATTTGTATTAATTTTTATTTATTCATTTAAGTATTGTATATTCAGTTTCAACTAATTTTCGCTTAAAGCTCGAGTGAGCTCTTCTGATCACATTTCGTCTGTTGTCCGTCTAGCCGCCGTCTGTCTTTAAACATTTCACACTTTTGACGTCTTCTTACGAACCAATCTTGGGTGGAGGGGATTCAAGTGTTTAAAAATGAATGGTAATGTCCTCTTCCAAGGGTAGATAAATGATCAATTTTTTTTAAAAAGTCATTTTTAAATATTTAAATTTGTTTTACACATTCTGTTATTTCGTACAACAAGTTATTAAAGTTTCTACATAATTTTTTTTTTCATTTTAGAGAGAAAGAGAGAAAGATGAGAATTTTGGCATATTTTTAAAATCTTTTTTTAAGAACTGTTGTGCCCCTAAAATTAAAATTGATGTGTCATCTTCATTACATGGTGAACGTACAAATTTACTCAAATTTGACCCCTGGGATAAAATTGGACCACAATAAGGGATTAAAGTTTTTACAGAAATATATGAACAAATTCTTGAAAAATCTCAAAGACCAAAGCGATGATAAGTCATATTAGTATTAGTATATCCACAGGTAAAATAGATTCTCGTTTGTTCAAATCATGACCCCCGGAACAAGGGTGGGGGCAAAATTGAGAATCAAATGTCAACCAAGGAACATATCGAAAAAAAAAATAATTGAAAAAGCCTGTTCTGAATGACACACAAATTACAATAACTAATATCGAATGGAAGCTTCCTCAGGTAGTGTGGATTTATATTTCTTTCCAATCATGAACTTCGCTGCTAATGGGTTCACAGTGGGAGATGGGCGTTTTACACAGGAATAAATAGGAAAAAGTCTGTCAATGAAGACAAAACGGTGCCATATTGACTTAAGTGAGAATAGTGTCCCATTCCCAAGAATGCCAGAGCTACGGCTACTCATACTGATATGGAAGCATATATAGGGTTTGTAGATATATCCCCGGTATGTCTGTTCAAATCATGATCCCTGGGATAAGAATAGTGCCACAATGGAGTATACATAGGAATAATTATAGGAAAACCATCTGCCAATGAAGTAAGAGCAGGGCCATATTGACTAAGGTGAGCATTGTTTCCAATGGACCTTTTGTTTTGATGAAGGCTAGGAAAATGCGTACGAGTGAAATTAAATTGTTATAATACTTGACCTTTTAAATATGATGAAAATTTGTTCAACATATATTCATTACGATGAGTCCAATTCCTTAAGTTAACTTATAATGATAATTTGAGTCAAAACTTGATGCACAGAATTTGTTATTTGTGTGTTTTTAATGCTTGGTGTAATTCTCAAAATGTCAATTGATTAATTCCAGACACCTCTGCCGCAAATAAGGTATATTGAAACACAATTACATGTATATGTTTATTTTGTTACATGTCTTTTAACAATTGATGGCAGCTATCATGTTTTATTTCATAACGCAATTGTTGAGTATTTATAAAGATTTTTGAAATGGGAATAGTTTTTATTTCGATTAAATTTGAGAATACATGCAGAAACCAGGGAAAAGACAATTGTGTGTATTCATGATTCATGCCTTGAGAACAACATTTAAAACTGTACTTGTTACATTTTAATATGGAATGTGTTTAATTTTTATACATTGATAAATTATGTCCGTTGTGAATGTAAGTAACCTGTGAACATTTATCAGTTCTTTGTATATCAAAACATTTATTATAAAATTTAAGGTAAAGACTAATGAAAAAAATTAATTGATCAATTTATTGAATCCATCGACAATGTACTATTCATGATTCATGCTTTGAGAACAAGATTTAAAAATGTACTTGTTACATTTTAATTTGCATTGTGTTTATTTTTTATTCATAAATACACATGTAAATCATGTCCATTGTGATTGTAAATAACCTGTGAACATTTATCAGTTCTTTGTATATTAAAACATTTATTATAAAATCTAATGTAAAGATTAATAAACAAATCAATTGTCAGGATCAATTTATTAAATCCATTGACAAAAAGAATCACAAAACAGGGCAAAATCACGGACCCTTAGAAACACCATAGGTAGGATCAGGTGCCTAAGAGGAGTAGGCAAGCCCTGTCTGCCAACCGAACCTGCTTTGAGCCCTGTACATGTATACTAATGTAAGACCTTTGCAAAGGTAGAATGAGTAGTCCATTGTTTGATTTAGTATCATATAGCAACAGCCCTCGAAATTGTATGAAATATGTCAGACAAAATACATCGATAAACTCCCTCTTTGTTAAACTATGTAATAGATTTTATTATTAAACGCAGAAATTGTGAGATATCAAAAATTTTTCTTCTTTTCATCAAGGGCAGATAACGCTTCAAAAACTTTAAACGTGCAAAATGACTGTCTCTTTGCATGATATCAGTCTTGTAAATTTGGTTCATTTTACTTTTATCGTTATCTAGCTTTGTCTTTTTAACTAGCTTAAAAATATTTAAAATCGTTCAAAATCTCTTCGTTTAAGTTTGAATACCTTCAAATATGTAAATAATAACGTCAGTTGATGACGATTTGCGACTTCGTTTGCTTAATATTATATTCTAGTGCTATAATTGTATCATGTAAAAAGTGTATTGATCTAACCAAAAATGCTTATTATGATAAGGAAAAAAAATAATTTTTATTCGATCATTGCATAAAGGAAACCTGACATATGGACATATCGATGGCATCAAAAGAAAAACAAGACAAAAATTCAAATGACTTTATATATCAGGTAAATCACAAATTTTACATTTAACATCAAAAAAGGAGAAAATTTTGTGGACAGCCAATTAGCATTTACACATAGGTATAGATGGATCGTTTTCATTATTCTCCGTAGAAGAGAAAAAGTTTGTGTTTGGCTATATATAAGCCGACATTTCTACAACTGATTTCCCCGCTATAGGCCCTACGTTCTCTAACAGACAACCCTCTGCACAACTCTGCGATCTTCTCAAAGCAGGTGGTTTTACACGAGAATCCACTATTTCCTTATGTTTATCAAAAACAATCTGCACAACTTGCTTTTTACACCCAGCTTTGGACAGGGCAGCACAAATGATATCAACAGAGGCCTTCCGATTGAGCATTTGGCGCCAAGTTTGTAGCGATTCGAAGACTACCTCTGTTTTGTTAATTGGGTGATTCGATTCATGAATCCATATAATACTGTCAATGTTTTCATATTCCCCAGACAATTCTGAAAAAGAAATTGAAACATTTGCAATGAAAAAATATTTCTGTTACATAAAATAATATTTGAAAGGTAACTCTTTAAGTACAATATATTGTATACATTTGTATAATTATGCAAACACAAAATATTTTTTTAATTCAAATTTGATAATTTATTCATTCAATTCTAATTAAAAAAAAGATTATGACATATCTATATCAGATATTAAATTTTAAAATAAATAATAAAATATTCTTTATTGTACATGATTGCATATTGCAAACATGACTGCAAGGAACAAACGTACCAAAAACTTGTCGCAGAAACATTTTGTATTTTTTGACAAACGCCTGAGTAGCAACAAACAGGTTTAGTATCCTCCATTCCTCGTCACGCAATGGTTCTGGAAAAGAAAAGATATAAACTGAAGATATATAATTTATTATAATCGTTATGAAATAATCACCGTGGCCTTTTGCAAGTTTGTGGTGTCACATTTTGGTTTCGCTATAAATGACGTATAACGTAACGTAAACGGAACGTCTGTAAATTACTCATATCAATCAGTGACTTTTCTTAAGGATAAATAACAAAAACTTTTTTTTCAGAAATCAGCTATATTTCTAATAGATTTACATTTGAATTGGTAACCTGAATTAAGTTTACAAAGTAAAGTCGGAGGATTTTATAAGATTTTGTCATAAGGTTAAAAATTTGTGCAAAATTTTGTATGGAATTATATAGAACGCAAAACAAAGTCTCATTTCTAAGCACCAAGGAAATTCTACGAGTTGTCTGTATTTCAGAGATTTATTATTTATGTCATTTCAAATCCAAATTAGTCATAATATATATAAATATCAATCCAAGCATCACTTTTTTGTTTGTGTTAAGTACCCTTAAAGGTTGAAATGCATGGAGAAAAGTTCTAACTTCATGTGTTTTATGCATTTAAATGATCCGTTCGTTTATGCAATTTAAAATAAATGGTAATCATCAGAAAATTTACCCAATTTGAAATAAAATGAAATTTATTATTGTCCAAAAGTAACCAAATTCATTATTTGCATGTAAAAATCAGACGGTGATTACTTTCCTTTATTATATTTACTACCTTACTTTCAACACCTTCATATATATTTTTCTTGGTGAATGTAGTGGCTAGGTACTAGCACCCTTTAAAAAATGAAGTATCATTCTACACATTGACATTAAAGAGTTCAAAGTAAAAAAAAAGTTTTCATTAGATTTTAGAGATCCCTTAAATTCGTTTATTAATTACTTGCTTTTCTCGGGAACTACAAGCAAGATTGATTGATTGATTGTATGTTGTTCAATACAAAAAAAGCACACTAAACGTAATGTAAGGGATTAATTTTGGTAATTAAAAATATGAAACTCACCTGGGTTTACTTAACCATAGATATCTGTTTTTATGTGTTTGAAATTAAATTCCATACAACAGTTTTACACTGCGCATGTATTTTTAAGGACGGAGAAATAATAAATAAATGCAACGGTTATTTGTACACATAATTGAAGAAATAATTCCTCATTTATATTATCTGATGTGTTCATTCTTTGATAAATATCTCAGACTGGTAGCTTGAACAAAAGTTTTTTAAATAAAGTACATGTAATAAAAAATTAGAAAATTATTTGCAATCTATGATCAATTAAATTTTTATTAACACTAAATATTTTTTATATAACATCTTTAATAGACACTAAATATTATTTCAAAATCGATCATACCTCGCATCCCCTCTGGAATTTTTAAACGAGGCGTTCTGTAAAAGAAAATTAGCTGATATAAATACGAGGGTTGATCCAAAAGTAATGTCACAGTGTCCATATCTTTTATATTTGGCGTCATATTATCAAATATTATACACCAAAAGATGCACAAATATAAATTTAATTTGTTTTTAAATTTTCATTCAATAATGCTAAACTGAATTTATTTTATAGATGTTTAAAACTTAAAAGATAGGGGGTGTCGCCGCGTCTAAACCGAACGTCACAAATTAAAGTGTACTTTTTTAATATAAAAAAAGACAAACACTTAAAAAGCATCTTTTAAAAGCACCTAAACGCAAAATACTTTAAAAGACAAAAAATTACATCATTTTCTAGTCTTAAATTGAAAATTATATGACATCACTGCTATTTTTTATGAAAAACATTGTTGATTTATTCCGGCGCATTGAAAAAAGGAAATGTCAAAATGGACAAAAAAAGCCAAAACAACTGTAATGCATATTTGCTTCAAAATGGAGAAATCGCCAGTAGAGACAGTTACATTGATTCACTAGACTTTCGGAGGAAAGAATGTATATAAGAGACCTGTTTAGATGGTTTCAGCAATTTTCGGTGGGTAATGGGACATTAAATGCTCAGCAGATGACAAGAAAACCGAAAGATGGGAGGGCGGACGGAAATGTTCTATGGTGTGTGACGTTGTCAAAAAGACAGACGGATAGAGCGATATTTGAAATTTTAAGTTGGCCTTTTACTACTGTTCAATGAATTTTGACAGAAATAATTATGAAAAGAATGAGTGTACGATGGATACTAAGGGTAAGAAAGTGACATTTGTGAACGTGTTCGTGGACATCAAATCTCAAATATTTTTTTAATGAAACGAAGGGAAGCGTTTAAATGTATGACGGCGCGTATCCGTCATATGACGTTATTTAGCTGCGGCGACTACCATAATCGCACGTTGTATATAATCCGATATTTTGAAAAGTATAAATCATGTTAAATTGAAATTTTCAGGTCTGATTTGAAATAAATGTTGCTTTCATCATTTTTAATTTTGTTGTTTTACGACGACGGATAGCGATTTTATCGACGTTGTGATATTACTTTTGGATCAACCCTCGTACATGCAAGTTGGAGTACAATAATATGTCATATAAAATATACAAATGTGATTTTCGGATATACCGGTAATTTAGCAATCACATAGAACTATTTGCATTTTAATTTGTGATATGCAATCTTTTCTTTAGCATACTTTATGATTTTAACCTTTATATACTATATATTTTGCAAACCACCGGTATATTGTGTTATGTATTTAATGTATGACATCATATCTTTACATTGGTGTTGATTTTATTTCATCAGAACTTAGCAAAATCAGACCTGAGGCGAAAATGTGCAGCATAGGGAAATACATTAAAAAAATTGTATTTTACATGACAAAGGTGCAGCCGATTTGAAACACAAAAATACAATTTACATCCAGACGGTCGGCTGCCTCCGTAAACTCCGACCAGCAGATCTGGCTGGTCGAAAATTTACGGAGACAGCCGAGCGTCTGGTTGAACGAGACTACTTAATTTCCATACATCAGATGTTAAAAAAAGATTTTTCGAAGGTAAGTTGGCGTTTTGCCAGTCTCTCCTTTTGATTACCTGTATACGGAATTTCTGGTGTAGTACACAATAAGGAACAAAAATCCGACCAGAGAAGCAACCAATGACACAACAGGAACAACTGTGATTACCACACGTTCTACAGCTGTGTACTCCTCCTCTGAAAAAAAAACATATATAGTAGTACAGTAATATATATACATGTAATTATATTTTATGTAAAAAAGTTAACTATTAAATTTACCATTAAACTTTAAGACTTTGAAATAAGAAATATAATAATTTTTAAATTAATTTTTCAATCTAAAGTTGAAAGTAATTATAGGCAAATGTAATCATTTGTAATAAGTTTAGATTGAAAATTAATAAAAGACACTACCATACGTATTTTATCTATCACAGAAATCCATTTTGAAGTTAAATTGCTATTAACTATAAAATTTATCTTAGTAACACAATGTGTAATGTATTTTCTAAACACATTTGCATCACCTGTTCATTTTGGCATCAAGACTTGGTATATCGTAAATATCGTAATTCATACTGTCTTAATTTAGGTTTGCATGCAAGGCTATTTATCTGGCGTAATTTGCTACCTGTCAGACTATTTGAAGTTCCTTTAAGATTTGTGCAAAATTGAAACGTGGAATTGTTTCCACATACCGTCATGTTCTTCTCCGTAAACGGGACCTCTAAGAGAAAAAAAAAGTTAATTTTAAACAATTGATTACTACAAATAACAATGTAAATGCGTGTGAAACTAGAATACGTCACTCGATAAATCCTATTTCATTCATCAGAATTATCTCTTCCTTTTGTTCTGTGCAGCGCTTCGTTCAATATATATATAGCACACACGGAGTAGTTTTCAAGAAAGTACGGAAGCGTATTAGGGGCCGCAGCGGTATCTTATTTTTAAATTTGTTTAAGCAAATTAGTAATTTGTTTTAACAGATTATTAATTTGTTATAACAGATTATTAATTTGTTATAACAGATTATTAAATTTGTTTTAACAGATTACTAATTTGTTTAAACAAATTAAAAAAAGATACTGCTGCGGCCCTGATATGACTCCGTAAGAAACAGGAGATAGTCAGATAGACCTTATATTTTCAGTCATTTTTCACCGCTTAGTACAAACCAAGTTTACGGGAGTATGCGGTTAAATATTTCATAATATAAAACATCATTTTGAGATGTACATAATGATATATATTCCAGTTGAATTTAAGTCGCTAATTTAAGAAAAACACACGCACACACACAAATTCTCAATCACTGTCCAGTTGGTTGGATATGCCTTGATATCAACTATAGTTAGAAACGTGGGATAATTTGTTGAAAGGGTTGCATAACTTAGCCCACATTTCCAAGATTTGTTGATGTCCTCGGCATACTCTACTAACTAGACAGTGATTCCACATATTTACGATTCATTGTAAATTAAAATTGTTAAATTTAGATTTTTAAAATGATCCACTTTGTTGTGTCCTTGTTTATCAGGTATCTTGTTGAATGTTAATGGTGTTAGCTTCTGAATTAAACTTTTATGAGTCAAAGTCTGGACTTGATTGCTAGTGTAGTGATTAAATCTTTAAGTTACAAAATGAGTAACAATGGCCAAAAAAATGGGATGATGAGTTGTGCATTTTTCAGTTTTTTTTTAACCATTTGTAAAATTCACAGTTTTTATATACTGTTTATTATGCATGACATTTATAATATCTAAGACTTCAAGACAAACAAGTAAGTTGTGCATGTTAAAATTTGTATCTGCAAAAATTTTGATTCATTTGAAACGGAAAGCTGTTTCCTATATGTTCATTATAGCGAAAGTTATCGCCCTTGTCATTTCTAATTAATCATTATGTGCGTTAAAAATACTTAATTAGTGTTGAATTTGAATTAAAGTTATCAATAATAATCTTTGTATGTTACACTAGTTGGATTACTAAAGATTGGTTGATTGGAAGCTTGATTCGTGTTTTAATTACTTTGTAAATAAATAATCACTAAGTATTTTAGATGGTGTTAGGATATATAGGATTTTTACTGGCGAGGATTGCGAGAGCGGTTCTAGAGGTAATACTCGACAAACTGTGAAGGTACGTATAATAGTGCGGACTTCCCTGCTTATATCGTACAGTTCTAAGTAGTAAGTGTGTGGTCATCCCTGCTTATTACTTGACAGAGTGTGTGGTCATCCCTGCTCTGTGATTGGCATCTTAAAGTAGCAAGTGTGCGGACATCCCTGCTTGTTGCTGCGCAAGATCAGGTGTGTGGACATCCCTGCCTGCATCTTGTGGTAGAGCATTGGTGTGCGGACATCCCTGCCAGTGTCTCTAGACTAGAACCGTGTCTATAGTGTCAAGTGTGCGGTCATCCCTGCTTGTCACTGCGCAAGAGCAAGTGTGCGGTCATCCCTGCTTGTCTCTTGTGGAAGTGCGTTGGTGTGTGGACTTCCCTGCCAGTGTCACTTGTTCGCTACCAGTAAAGACCTTATATACGCAGTACCAAGTGATTAAGACTGCGCATTGTGCATATTTGCAGCATCTCAAGGCTATCCGTTTTTATCACGGGTACGAGCCTGCGGGGGTTCACAGGCAGTGACCTTCCTTGCACGTTACATAAAATTTGGTGGCAGCGGTGGGATACCTTGAGATAGCTGCACGATGGAAGACGTAGACAAAGAATTATCTCTGATAGAAGAGAAGCTCGCGGAGCTGAAGGGGGAAAGTATCAGGAATAGAAGTTCCAAGTCGTCGACTCCAGTGACCCCGCGTCTGAAAGACAAAGTAAGAGACTCGGGTGTTGGCGAATCTCACATCCCCGGAGAATTGAGGCAGACAGAAGAAAAGTCACCAACGCATCAGCATGATGATGCGCAAGCCGAGCACGCGCCTATCCTTGAAGAAAAGTCTACAGGACAATATCTCAGGGACATGTTTAGAGAAGCCGTAGGAAGCCCGCGCGATCACAGTCATCTAGAGTCTCCTACAAGATTCGATAGAGAAGCGGCGCAAAACGACAAACATTGGCGTAGACTTCGTCCTGAAGAACTTTACAGGGACGATCAAGACGATTCTCTTCTCCCTGGGATAACAGGAAGGAGATCCAGAGTTAGATTTGCAAGCCCTTATAGCGGAGACGACGCGCTAGCAGAGTTTCCATCACCAAGACAAATGATAAAGCCAGCAACGTATGATGGCAGTGGTCCCTGGTTGGATTATCATGCGCATTTCGAGGCATGTGCCGAAATAAGTGGATGGAGATATCATCAGAAAGGATTGTATTTAGCAGTTTCTCTTCGGGGAAGTGCACAGGGAGTGTTAGGGAACATGCCAAAGGGGACAAAGCCCGATTATCAAACACTTGTTAAAGCCCTGGAAGATAGATTTGCACCCCCGAGTCAAACGGAGCTATACAGGGTGCAGATGCGTGAGCGACGCCAAAGAGCTGGAGAATCTCTGCCAGAATTAGGACAGGCTATTCGCAGACTTGCCAACTTAGCCTATCCCACTGCGTCAGCTGAGATTCGGGAAACGCTGTCTAAAGACCAATTTGTGGACGCATTGGTCGACTCGGAAATGCGCATCCGCATAAAGCAGGCGCGTCCTAAACATCTTAATGAAGCTATACAATTGGCTGTCGAATTAGAAACTTACAACAGAGCTGAGAAAAAGAACTATGCGCGCCCAACTACCGTTGAATCCGCTGAAGGAAGAACTGTCTCAATGCTTGAGGAATTAAGCGCAAAGTTTGAATCTATGCAGAAAGAACTCAGAGAAATGAAAGCAGAGCGCAATGAAAGTTCACAGCAATCCCGACCATGGAAAGCAAACCAAACATTGGGGACACAGAAAAGATGTTACTTTTGCCGTAAGCCGGGACATTTACGCAAGGATTGCAGAGCTTTTCAGGCGCAAAGGAAAGCTAAACCTCCATTTACGTCCTCTACTAGAGACCGCCCAGAAAGTGATGGCGCAAAGGCAAAAGACGCCAAGCCTTCCAGCAGAAATGTCAAAACGGGTGTGAAAGCATCCATAGGGGCAAGTCCAGTCGGAATGGACGCTGGCCTGTTCATTGAAATGGATGTCTGTGGCGTAAAGGCGAAGCCATTGGTAGACACAGGTGCGACAGTCAGCCTGATATCTACTGAACTGATGAGTAGATTTCCAGAAGAGGACCGACCTAGGCTTGACTCATTCAGTCGTGACATACTTGATGCTGGTGGCAACTGTCTCCAGATAAGCGGTAAGGGAAACTTTCCGACACAGATAAGGGGATTCTCTTTCAAACTGGATGCTGTCATTGCAGACCTGAGCAATGATGGAATTATGGACCTTGATTTTCTGGAAGAAAATGAATGCACAATTGATGTAGCAAAGAAGAAAATGTACATTAAGAGAAGACGATACAACCTTATAAAGGAAGGAAGTTATGGGTGCTATCGCATCGTAGCACTGAATACTGTGACACTTCCAACAAATCAAGAGGTTATCATAAAGGGGAGAGTGTGTGCGCCGGAAAGCAAAAGCATTTCAATGGTTCATGGTTTGGTGGAACCAAATGAAAAGTTCGTGTCGACAGGTACTCTTGTAGTCAGAGCAGATAGAGTTGTACCAATTCGAATGCTGAACATGGGACCAGAAAGTCGAACCATTTACAGTGGCATTCACATTGCGGAAATGTCATCTGTCTGCGCAGTACAGGCTGAGAAGAAGACAAAGAATAACTCTGCATTGCATGAACATTTTGGAGATCTATTGAAGCACAGTAGCACCGATCTGACAGAGGGCCAGATAAGTAAAGTGAGAGACTTTTTGCGTCAATACTCCCATGCGTTTGCATTCAGTAGCTCTGACTTGGGTACCACAAACGTGGTTGAGCATGGGATAGATGTTGGCAATGCTCATCCCATAAAGGAACCCTTGCGTCGTGTCCCTTTCCATGCTGCCGAGGAAATAGACAATCATGTAAATGATATGCTGGAAGAAGGGGTCATAGAGCGCTCCTCTAGCCCCTGGGCAGCAGGTGTTGGCTCAGTCCGGAAGGAGGATGGCAGTACTCGCTTCTGTGTGGACTACCGGAAATTAAATAGACTGACCATCAAAAACGCCTACCAATTTGCGCGGATTGATAATGCGCTGAATAACCTCTCTGAAAATGCATGGTTTTCAACTCTGCGCTTGTGTTGGGGATACTGGCAGGTGTCTTTGAAGGAAGAAGACTCAGCTAGTACAGAGGGAGTACCTCAGACAAAAGACGAATCCCAGGAGAATGAGAATCCAAGTCTTACTGTAGATGAAGTTGAAATTAAGCGCACGCGCCATCCTCCCAGCTGGCATGAAGATTACGTTTTATAAGCAATACACTGAGAAGAACCTTGGGACAGCAAGCGAACCTGATTTGTTCTGTTTACCATTAGGTTAAACAAAATATTAGTTTTGTTTTGCGTAATGGTAAATGCTTAGGGCTGCATTGTAATTACTATTCTGTTGGGTAAAATATTTCTATATATTTTATTTTGCAGAATGGCGAATGCAATGAAGATTTTTTTTGTATGTAAATAGCGTTTGGTAGATTTTTTTTAATGCAGTTATGTGTTTTTCTTATGCGAGGACGCATAAAGCTGGGGTGGGGGTGATGAAACGGAAAGCTGTTTCCTATATGTTCATTATAGCGA